CTTTTGACAAGATGAAGGGTTATTAAGGAAGAGTGCTTGAGCGGAAGTGATTTTTGAGAGAGGGAGAAGGGCGTGATAAAAAGGGAGTTTAAATAGGTCTCAGTGTTACTTGAGGCAGGCTTGACTAGGTTTCAAGCTGTAACCTCAACTCTTGAAGAGGCTTCACGGGTGTTTGAAATAAGCCATTGAGAATCTTTTGCTTCTGCACTTGACTTCTTGTTTCTGGAAAGTGTTTCCTGTGTGAGTGGCATCATCCACCAGACGTGCACGGTGAGTTACTATTAATTAGCAGCAGCACCAGGATCCTCTGATGACAACTACATTGGGCAAATGCACAATCTGGCACCTAGTGAAAGAGGCTGGTTGGCTTGGAAGCCAGAAGATCCAGTTTTATTTCTGATTCTGGCAAAATATTCATGTGTACCTATGAGAAATGCCTTAAGCCTGGCAAGTCTTTGTTTTATACCCATGGAAAAATAGAATTTTTTTTTTGTTGTTTAAAAGCAAACTTTTGGGATGAGTGTAACTTCTGACTGTAGAGTGCCTGGCGGAAAGGGACCCCTGTCTTCTGTTGACTTCAAACTGTGCTTGTGGTTGCCCACCACTGGTGAAGGTGTCGGTGGCTATGTATGCAATTCTTAATATTGAGAATAAAAGATGTGGAAAGTGGAAAACAGTGAATAAACTGATATATGCACACCATTTAGAACTGCTCTTACGGGATACCAAGAGGCATAACTGCTTCTGGACGTATGTTTTCCCCACATTTTAGAAGACTTGATTGAGTTCTCTGGAACAAGTTATAGACTAATTGTATCCTGTAGTTATTTTCAGTGTAGTTCTCTAAATCTGATCCCTGTTACATGCCATAAACACAGGCATTGGTACGGGAAAGCAGTGAGACCATGCCTAAATGTTTGTTTTCCCTTGCACAATCCTTTGCTGCTAAGAAATTGTATATCTTGTTTTCTGTAAGTGGGTGGGCTGTAGCAATGTCTGTCTTTTGGCAGAGCGAAATAAATGTTAACTTGGGTTAAATGCAATAACTTTACTATGAAAAGATAATGGTAAAAACACTATATGCAGCATAAACGATGGTGTCTTCGAAGTGGTGTGGTGGTTATGATGGTGTGGTGATTTTCCTAAAACTCACTGATTGTATGCCCACTTCCATGGGTCCTCTAAAAAAAAAAAAAAAAAAATCGCTTATGCCTTAGGTTACATATCATCATAATCTTATAGTTTCAGCTCGTTTCCCATCCTAGCCACCCCTTCCCACTTAAAAAAAAAAAAAGGGCAAAACAAACAACAGCAACATTTTAGACATCTCCTGTTGATAATAACTTCCAAATGGAAATCAGTTGCAGCTGGTTCTTCGCACTTTAACCCTTTGTCTGCTGGCCTTCCAGGAAATAATTGATGACTGATTGGCCCATTAACCTTTTTACAAAAAAAAAGTTTGACAGCCTGGACTTGTGTAATGAGGAGGGATTCCTAGTGAAATCAGGTTGATGGCTGAGTTGCTTGCCCCTGAGGATGCAAAATTAGCCCCACGGGACCTCGTCTGCATAGAAACTGGACACAATTAGTGTAATATCCGGTGTTATTAATGTAGTTTGGAGTAATTGGGCAGGTTGATTTCGACAGGTTGATGGTGCTAAAATACTATTATAGTGGACCTTTCTATGAATAACTGTTAAACATGGAAAACTGTTTAATAAAATCTTGTGATTGGGCTCACAGGGATTTAAATAGCACAACGTATAATTTTTCTGAAGAGTAAAACTGAACAATTTTATTCTGCTGCCTGGATTTTCCTGTTGTGTATGCGGTGATTAAGGACGTACACGTTCCCTACTCATCTTTTGTAGGCATTGCCCTGTGGGTGACTTGGAGCAGGCATTGCTCCTTTGTTTCACAATTGTGCTTGCAAAAAAAAATTTGGTGTATTTAAGCAGAAAATGTATTATTGAACACATCTTCAACTGGCACAGTTGCTTTTCATCTGAGCTTTTTAGGGAGTAAACCTGAAGCTTCAGTGGATATAAGAGAGTGCCAACTTGTATATTCTTAATGTATCGTCAGCGACGACCAAGTTTTCAGTTAACTTACTGATGAACTGAAAATGTCCTTCCAGCCCAGCCTTAAAACACACTGCAGCCCTTGTAACCCGCGGTGGGGCCGTACCAGGACAGACTCACCGGCATGTTACATGGACTTTGCGTTCCCAAGCCACAAAGGCTGTGCAAGGTCTTTACAGCTTTTGTCACGGTGTCAGCTGGTCACAGCAGAAAAGGTCAGGAGATGAAACACAGGAGCCTCTCCTTTGGGAAAAGGAGACGGCATATAAAAGAGCGACCACGGGAAATGGCTGGAGGTGTTTCCTGAATTACCCTCCAGTCGCCTGAAGAACCGGGTTTGTGTCCTCTGCCGTAGGCCTCCCGTAAGCAGAGGAATAACTTTGTGTAGCATTTCTGGAAAATGAAGCTTGCAGAGGTACCGCTGTGAGGATGATATTTCAACCTTGCTTTTAAACGGTACGCTGGCTGAATTGCAGAGTTTATTTCTCATAAGCCCTTCTTGGGCAAACCAGCTTCATGTATATGATCAGGATTATTGCAAATAGGAGATAGGAGGATTCAATGATGCTGCATCTTGATTGTATCTCTTTTAAGGTCTGGAATTGTAATGCTGGAAGGTCACGTAGTACTTAAATGCTGGGATGAACTGATACACAATTAGTGCAGGGAGACTCTCTAAAGGTATACCGTATATACTTGTTGAGTTTTAGTTATGTACCGCGTATACTTGTGGAGTTGTTGTGCATTGAGAAGTCAGCCCTGCCACGTGTGCTGCAGAAGTCTTCTCTCTTGTTGTGCTCTTGTGTGTCTTTGCATCCCTACAGGGCCTCCTCCCTCCTTGAAAAGGGGGTGTGGGGAATTTTTAACTTGAGGTGGCAAGATGACTTTTCTGTAGTAGGCAGCTCCTTCAGCTTATACCAAGCCTTTGGCTTACATAGAAGTGGTATGGTGTATGGTCAGGGGAGAGAGGTGCAGGGAAAATAACGATGCAGCAGGGCACTTGCAGCAGGGCTGCGAGTGGTGAAGGGAAGGGCTGAGGGAGAAGGACATGAGGTGCAGAAAATGGAGTGAGACTGAAGAGGGCCTTTGTGTCACTGCATATTGCAGGATCCCTGCCGTAACAATACGCATGTCTCAGTACGACCCGCACTGAGTAATTTATATAGAAGGATTTTCTGAACATTTAGTGGCCATCATTTGGAAACCCTCCTTCAGTAAGACTTCAGGGGTACAAAGTTTTATCACTTAGAAGCCATTGAAAAGCCTAAGAACGATGCATTTCCTAAATTTGACTCTGCAGGGAGCTGCTTCAGGTGGGATTCAGTTTTCGATATTCTCTTCCTTCACTGTCGTTCCCTGTTCTCGTCAACATATGCATAAATCTGCATATGCCTGTACCCTCCCCACTGGCCATATGCCATACCACTTCTACATAAGCAGAAAACTATAGCTGTGTTGTCCTACAGGAGACCATGCACAGGACTGAATGTAATTTCCTTTACTGTTGAGTAGTTCCTCTTGCATCTTCTTCATAAACTCTTGAAAGCTCTGTTTGATAAATGTGGCTTTTTTCATTATTTAATCATAGCATTTTGGATAATGAGTCTACCTGTTTGTTTTTAACACAGTGTTGCTAAAATCGAAAAGTAGTTATAGCTGTACAGTTGCATCGTTTCTCTTACATTTGTTTTCCTGCTTATCCCACACACTATTGTTTAGTAAAACTGCTGCTTCGGGTGCCCTCATGGACCTGGAAGTAACCTTCACCTCTGTGTTTATTCTCACCTCAAGGTGCAAAGTAACCTACTATTTTTTGAGACTTCATTAAAGCAGTATAAGCACTGGCCTTGCTAGCATGGAGTTTATCAAAGAAAACCAGTTATCCCACAGGTTGGGAAGATGACTGCCAGTGAGCAGCAGTATTGTCTTTAAAGCTGGTGCTAGATTTGTCACTTATCTTTGCATGCTTATGGATGACAAGGTAATGCAGGAGTTTCATGGCTCTGAATATATAATAAGTCATTAGCAGACAAGCGAATGTAAATGCTCTTTCTAAAGCCCATTATGGCTGATGTTCACAGAACTTTGTGCTCTATTATTCTGTTCGTTTCATGCTTCATGCCTGCCCTTCCCAATTCCACTCGCTCTGTTTCAGCTTCCTTGATTTTTTTTTAATGTGACTTGGGTCCCATGTGTAGTTGGAGCATGTGTCCATTTAGTTTAGTTCTGCTGGTATTTTCATACGCTGCAGTCCCCTGGCCTGAATACTTGTCCTTATACTCTAGTAGCCCTAAGGATATTTCATTGACCCTTTCTGTGAGCTCCTCAGATCATTTTCTCATCTCCCGTGTTGAACGTGAATGTTGAATAGGTTGAACTGATTTCAATCCTGCATTATAACCTAATGTATTTATGCTGTAGACAGGAAAATATACACATCCACTTTTAATACATCTGTACACGTAAACAAGTGCTTGAAGGAAGAGGGTAAATTTTCAAATTTTCTGGATTGTCAGCTCTTTATAGTCCATTCATCTTTTAAGTTATTTTGTGACACACTTTAGTTTTTACATTATGTAGCTCTTAGCACCTCAGGTTTAAATCTAAATAATGCTTGTTAGCCACTTTGTGTTGGAGAAAGGTATAGACTCGATACCAAACTCACAAATACACACAGGAACTGAATATTTACCCAAAACAGTACTTTATCTACATAGCATTGGGAGAGAAAAAAGTAGTGGATCCACAGGTCGTTTTCTGATGCATTGTGCAACTGCAGGGTAGTTGGATATACCTCAAAAGTCCAGACCTGCATTTGCTTTTTACATTGCAGAAATGCTCATCAACCAAGATTGCTTAGGCCTAGCTATCAATATCTTTAAACTTAAACTTTTCTTCCTATTGCATGTTTTGTTTCAGAACAAGAAGAAAACTTTGAGTTTATCATTGTCTCTCTCACCGGCCAGACTTGGCACTTTGAAGCTACCACATATGAAGAAAGAGATGCCTGGGTACAAGCCATAGAGAGTCAGATCTTGGCCAGTTTACAGTCATGTGAGAGCAGCAAGAACAAGGTATGGTACACAGAGTAATACTGAAAATAATTAATGGTTGGTTGAGCTTTAAAAGGAAAGCAAAATCAAGAACTTTGAATTTTAAACCTGTATTCCAGGTATGAGGCACATGACAGAGCAGTATTAAAGCTGCATGCATATCTCAGATATTTCAAGACAGCTGGTACTGTAGCCTGTTTTACATTTATTTTTTACAGCAATTGAATTAACGGATCTCCTGGATTATCTTGTTTTGCCATCAGTATGGCTCTTAAAATTTTGACTGAAACTTGGGGCTAGGTCACGGACTCTCCCTACTGAGAAGTTGCATAGTGTAGTCACTGCTGCAGATTGGGGTTTGTTTCAGGTTAGAGGTCTGCAGAAGGCCCTTGAGGAAAACCCTGCCTTGGAGAAGAGTGGAGGCAGACCGAAAAAACAGCATATTTACTAGTCAAATCTCTAGTTAAATCTACTCAGCTCCTGCATGGCAAAATTTAACTAAATGTTCTGGTTGGCCTAACCATAAATGTGTGGTAGCATTCAGCCATAGGACTCTGCCGTGATCAAAAAATCACGGAAATCAAAATTAAGCTATTGCTTTTGTGTCTGTTGCTTTACAAAGCATATGCACAATTTTTCTTTTCTTTAATGTTGTTGAATTAATTTTTCATGGTTTTCTGCCTTAACTAATATAGCAGAAAGCAAATCGAGAAACAGTTCATGAGAGCTTTTTGGGGGAAGATGAACATTGTCTAAGAGGTACAGGCCTTCTACCTTGCAATGCTCCCATATCATGAGAGAAATAATTAGTTCTCTTTTCCTGACTAAATAAATAAATGTATGTTTAAAGTATGATACTTCTTCAGCCACTGCTCATTTTTGAAAGGGCAAGAGAACTCCTCCTTCTTGAGTCTCTCTGTTTGCAAACACTTCACAACTAGAGAGCAAGGTGTTGAGTGGTAGTGGAGGGAGAGAAGTGAGAAGTAATCATTCAGACCTATAGATCCTTTAAAATTTTTTGCCTAACAGATGTCTTTAATGATTTTATATTGCAAGGAGGAGACTCATATTTTGAAATTACTGTCTGCTTTCATTGCCCTGATCTACCAGAGTAGATCAGACACCAGTAGTTATCATCATCATAATATAATTTACTTCCCATTTTATTTAAAGAAATTATTTATTTCCTATATATATTTCTGAGATAGAGAAAAATGACTCGTGTTTTTTTGCCTTTCATGGATTTATGCATTCGACTATGTATGTTAAGGGAGTGCAATAGAGGAAATTTGTACACTAACACCTATATAAAAGTACTAACACAAAAGAGGATAAAGAGTGGCTGGTAATATTTACTATGCAGTACCCACAGAGAAGATTGGCCTTTGTCTATATTAAGTATTCTTTTGAAAGGGAGAATCAATTGGTAAGATTATGCACGTACAGGGAAGCTTTTTGGGTTACATATTTAACCCGCTACAATGCTCAGACAGGTTTTTTTTTTTCTCTGAAGTATTACTAAGGTCTCAAAACATGTCAGAAGAACTAGCTGGAATAGCAAGGTGTAGTTAGTTGGACAGGTTTAGTAGGTGTCCTGTTGGTAGATCGAGAGGACATATCTCCACATGGACATGCTTAAGACCTGGTCCTCATCCTGCTTAAATCAATTCATTGCAGGGTCCATCACTTGCTACATCTAACAAATTTCTTCTCCGAATGCCCACAAGATGCTTTGGTTGGGTAGAGCTGAACTACTGGTACATGGTGACACTCTATCCAGGTCCAGGTAGAGGTCATTGGCAGGTCAGCATGGAGAGAATTTAAATGGGAGCCATCTGATTAAATCTGACCTTTTGATGATAAAAAGGTTTCAGTTGCTTTTGCAAACCATCCCTTAGTCTTCATTAGCAAAAGCATAAACATCAATAAAAGAAATTGATTTTATAAAATAATATTCTTATCTAATTTATCTCAAGAAGTAAACCTACACTGTGACCACTTGAATTGTGAATAGCAGGGTTCATTTTGAAGCTCGGTTTTCCTCTGTGCAGTCTCCCCACTTGTTAGCATCCGGACTGGAGACCCCAAAACACTGGGAGCTCCTGGGCAAGGCGGAGAGAGCCCTGGGAGAAATCCTGACCTGTCAGAAACATAGGTGGAAAGAGGAGTCCCTGCTTGGCAGGTGTGGACTTGCAGTACTTGGAGATGCCAAAGGATCACCGTTTCTTGAGAGGCAAACCAAGGACTTGGGTTCCTTGATCATGTTTGTTCGGCCTTGGTTTAAGCTTTGAGTTTTGCCGTTCGTTCAGCTGACGGTTTTGTCATCTAACCCTTTTTATTGGGTTCTTGTTTGTTGCTTATGCATTTCTTTAAATCTACGCAGTCCCGCCTGACGAGTCAGAATGAGGCCATGGCCCTTCAGTCCATAAGGAACATCAGAGGCAATTCCCACTGCGTGGACTGTGAAGCACAGAGTAAGTACAGCCACTTCACTTCAGAAAATTGACCTCCTCTTCTTGGCCAAGACGTCTTCTTGGCCGAGACTTAGGTGAACGCCCACCATGGGCTTTGTCTTTTTTGGTATTATGTTCCATATGTTGTTTGAATGTCTCTTCTTCATTATAGAGTTTGCTTAATCAGACTTATTTTATGTTAATTCATACTTAATATATGCTGTGTCAGATGCATCCTAATTTTTTCCCCTTGTTTTACATGCCATTTTAAATGTCAGCATTTCTTTCCTTTGAAGAAAAGGAAAAAGAAGTTTGCTGTTTGACATCAGTTACTTCCATTTTCCTCCTGTTTTGCATGGAGAGAGCATGTGTGCCATGGTAATATTTTCAAAGAGGTAGAACTTGATTGGGTTTTTTTGTTTGTTTGGTTTTTTTAGGGTTACTTGTCAGAAGAAACCAAAGTCATTGCTCATTATATCTGGATACTAGAAAATTGATTTGGGACTTTTTTTTTTTCTCTCCTTTGTGTTTCTTTCCCTTTTTTTATTTTTTAAAACATATACTTAGTGTTCAGAAAAGTGTTCTCGAGAATACTTTGAGCTGTGGTTCACCTCACTAACCCCAGCTGAGGTCATTATTCTGGTGCTCTTTAGTTCCAGGGGTTTGCAACAAAGCCACAAAAAGGAAGTACTCTTGCTCTAAAGCAATTAGTTGTAGAAGCAGAAGGATTGAGAACTTGTGCATTTTTATTTCTTTGATATTTGAAAGCCAGAACTTTTCTTGTGATTTTTGCATGTGCTTCAAATGGAAAAATATTCATTTATTTTTCTTTGGGTATAATATTTTTTTAAGACTTGCTGTTCAGGATTTTGACTACTGGTCTAAGCCATTCTAACATCCCAGGTAACTTTAAAATGAACATTCATTTGGAAGTGCAAGTGCTTTTGCATGACTAATTTGCTATCTGTATAGTTAGCAATTTAGCTGATTCAGTCATCCACCAAACAAATCGATTATCCCCTGCCTCACCCTCAGAAGGCTTGAAGGGGAAGATAAAAAAGATTTTTCCATACCATCAAAATGTGCTTCACATACAGACTGGTTTTAATTGCTTCTTTTGAAAACGCTCAGATATTCGTATGCCGTCCATAGGAGATGGATCAAGAACAAAGGCAGCTGCCCTGTCCCTGGCGGGTCAGCACACAGGGGGCTGAGCCCTGGCTGGACCAGGCTTTGAGCACCAGGCCTGGGATGCTGTTAAAACAGCCTGTTGACCTGCTGGAGGGAGATCCCAAAGAGAAATTTCACAGGGATTTTTCACAGACAGAGAGAAATAATAGCAACATGGATAAATTAAGGTCTTTACATTCCAGTGGCTAGTATGTTGGTTTGGCTGGTATTTTAACATGTATAGCCCGAAGTGACTCTTATTTATTAGTGTTCTTTCATATTGACCTGGTAGTCATTCAGATTTACACCAAAGCTTTGATATAGTTCAAGTAAAAGGCATATAAGGTGCTGTGCTGTATTTGAGAAGGATGGGGTCTTCAAGTGACCTAGATGTATATTTAGCTCATTTGAAGTACTCACTGCTGTCTGTGAGCAGACCGCAATGAGAGTGTTACTGATTTCTGCTCCAGTCTGTCTCTACAGCTGTGGGTGGCATTTTCCCAGACCCTGCTTAAGTGGTCACCCAGGCAGAGTGGGAACATGCAACCTCTTCACTGCATGCGACTTCCCACGCCCATGCGTGTCCTTTTGACGTATCCATGATCCATTTCAGCTCCAGCCAGAGTCCACACTATCCCCAAGGTGTGTGTTTCTCTCCCCAGTCTTGCATGTACCCCAGTATTTATGCAGCCAAGCTACGTGTTTAATCAGGAAAATGATTGTGCAAGAAAGCAGCACAGTTTTTTCCCCCCCCTTTCAGCCGGGTTGTTTTTCATCCAGATTGCTTCATGGGTCAAGCTGGCCACATGTGCAGGGTGCCAGCAGAAGGGACCTGCCAAGAACATGTTGCTGAGAGAGGCAGGGTGGGACTGCCCTTTTTGGCAACACTCAGCGTTTGGTTGTGTAGCTTATGGGGGGATGTGATTTTGGAATCTCAGCTGGAACCTCTCTTAATTGTTTGTATTCTTGGAGATGATTTAAGTCTTCTTTGACTCTTCTTGCCATTTGGCCTTCCTAATTTTAAGGCTACCATCTTTCCTTTTGACAAATTTGAGATGTTTCCAAAGCGATGTATCTTAAAATGTAAACATGCACAAGGTGAACCTCAGCCTGCTGCTTTTTCTGCCAGGCTTTGCTTTATTTCCTTCTCTCCCTTTCTGCCTTGCCTGGGCAAGTCCTTACCCCTGGAGTATTTAGCATCACAAACACCAGTGCTCTTGTGGAAAGCTTACGTAGTTTGCATCTTCACAAAGCCAGATGTTTGGGAGCAAAGGAATATGAGATGTTACTGTCCCTCAGCTCTATTCAAGAGCCATCCATCTTCCACTTCAGAAGTCTCATTCTTCCTCTTTCTAGAGCTCTTTGCCTTTTTAGCACTTCATCACAGCACTTTGTTTCACCAGGGAGTTTCTGCCTTGTTGTATGTTAATCAGCAGCAGTAGTACCAGCAGCATTTGTGTGCCACCAGCCTTCTGGCCCTGTGGCAGTCTCAGACTAAAGTTTTTAAGTCCTTTTTTTAATGTTCCCATCCCGGAGCAATAGATGAGGCAAAGTGCTCTTTAGGTGCTGGAGTTTTTGCCCAAGAAGATCTCATTTCATGTTTCAGAGGGAAACTGATGTTGCCTTTTCCCAGAGCATTGGAGTCCCAGTGCTGACTTCTGTCTGGAGAAGGCTCTGAAGACAATCAAATTGCTTAGGCAAACCCAGTTAAATTCCTGCCCCCGAAGGATTTTAGCTCTTCCAGTCTTACTGCTTAAAGAGCAGATGAGAAGATAAATATGAGTGAGTCACTCTTTCAAGATATCTGGAGAGCGTGGAATATCAGGTCTTTTCTGTTGTTGAAGAAAACAGGGAGGGCTTAAAGAGGGAGAGTCTCATGATGAGTTTTCCAGTCCAGGAGTCTAGTAACTTACTATGGTGTATTTTATATTTGAGAGCCAAACACTGACGTAATAATTTGGGTGGCCCTGGCAAGCCTGTCAGACCCATCACAAGATTCAATTTTATATTCAGAATAGAAAAAAAAAAACTTGTAAAGAATAGAAAAGATGTAAACTTTTCTCTCTTTTGCTGCATCTCTTTGCAAGATGCCTTCGCCCCCTGCTTCTCCTTTCCCTGGCTCTTCTGCTCCTCCCTGCTCCTCTTCTGCTCAGCCCAGCACTATCTTGCACGTGCTTGAACTCATCAGGATTTAGCATGGCAAAGCCTTTCATCAGCAACCTCATGTCCAAAGGGATGAAGGAGATGGTGGGGAGGGGTTATTCTCCTAAAAGAGCTGTTCCAAGAGCTTTCACCTTCAAATGATCAATCTGATTGAGGTGCAAGTCAAAGTGGGGAGGACGCTTTTAGAGACAGAGAGAATGACATACCTTTAAGAATATGGGCAGCTGAAAATTGTAATCTGGGAATATCCAGTGATGTTTAAAAGGTCATATTTTGTTTGACAAATTGTAAGTAAAACAAAGAGAGGAAACTAGCTTGATAGCAGCTATAGCTGCATTGAGTGGGGTTTTTGCTTCTTTTACCATCAAATGTCAATGTATGCATACTGGAGAAAAGCCTGCCATGTGCTTGTAAGTATTCTGAGCATCCTCCAATTCAGAATTACTCTTAGCATCAGCCGGAAGAGTGAGCTGATTTTTAATCATCTAAAAAAAAAGGAAAAAAACCAGCTTGAGTAGTTATAGCTTACTAACCACGTGTGGTTCTTTTCAATATAAATCAGTGGTAACAAATTTGAAGCATGAGATTTAAAAAGTGCTCAACTACATATGGGAAAAGGAAGATGCAGATAGGAGCAGTGAATTGAAAACAGGGACATCCCTGAGCATGTAGTTTACAACAGCTTGCCTTTATTATTGGTGGGTAGTGACTTCTGTCATCTAGCATACCTCCTTTTGAGAATAATTTTTCACGTGCATACACTGAAACAGATGTCATAAGTGACATCATGTCAGTATTTTCCCAGAATCCATCAAACAATGCCACTTGTCCAAGCTCCTGATTAGAGCCCTGTCTTGCTCCGCGTTATTCAGTTGTAACCAAGATCAACAAGTCTGGTTTTTTCACTGGATATCTCTAATGAGTTCAACACTTGCCTTTCCTAGTTTGCCACCTTCAAACTTGTTGTGTGTTATCAGATTATTGAAATTTAAAATACTATCTTGACAGAATTTCATGTAACTTTTTGGTTATCGCTTTGGTGGATTACTTCAATTGTACCAGCCCTGTCAATTGGAAGTAGGTGAATATTTAAAAAAAAATATTCAGTAAAAGATACACTAGATGTGCTTCAAGTACACAGAAGTATTTGGGAGTGAGGTCAGGTCCTTAACATCAGTTCTATTAGAATAATCGGAAAAATATTAATCAGTATTTTTTCTCTTGCTTCATTCTGAGTTTGTGCTTCTTTGAGCTCATTGCACTTTTTATTTTTGTGAAGATAACCCTGGCCTTTGCAAGTCAGGGACAGAGATTTCATTCTAAGAAATGGTTTGCAAATTTTAAGTTATTATCTGCTCTATTTAAGCTTTTACTGACAAATTAGTATGTTTGGATTTTTAGTGTGTTTCAAATATACTACTGGTTCTCCCACTGGCAAGACACCAAAAATACCTGGTGGAGGTGACCTGAAGAAACATGCAGAAAAGGAGTTTGTCATGGTTGTCTTACCAAGGACTTGGAAAGCATGGAGGAGTTTTGTCTCAATTATCTTTTGGAGATCTGAAATGCTGTCTATTCGTAGCATAAGACTTGGTATGGACAGGAACTTTTTCTGCTCAAGTGAAATAAGATGGGGGATTTTTCTTGTTGGGAGTATTTTTAGATTTCTAAGGAATGACCGAAAAATGTCAATCAATGCCTTCACTGAAATGTGGGAGTTTACAATTAAAATTATCTGCTTTCCTTTCATATCTTTTGTCCAAATGTGACATGGCAAAGAACTAGGAAACATTTTGTTTCCACATATTTTAGCTGCCAAAAATAACTTTTCAATTTTGGGTTACATAAAGTAGAAATGAGTCTTCAGATGAAATTTCTCTGAATGGAAGGGGACACTGGAATTTCATTTTCTATCAGCTCTAAATTTTATTTAGATTTGAATGAAAACTGCCTGCCCTCTCAATTAATCACCTTTTTCCTGCTTGGCATTTGTGATAGCCTACTGGTTCTTTGGGAGGCCCACGGTAAGGTGAGAAGAAAAGATCTGACAGCAGGAGGGAGAAAAAAAAAGCTACCAAAAATTCCTCTGATACGTCTTTCATTGCATTTGTTAAAATAAATGTTTGTTGGAGAGAGGGAGATTCATACTAGTCTAGATTTAAATAACACAGGACAGTGACAAAAAAGTGAACCATCTTGGGAAATTACTTTGAATTTCCCGGCTTTTGTCAGGTTTGTCACAGCCTTATCATTTGTGGGGTTATTTTTTTTTTGTGTGTGTGTGTGTGTCGGTGGAATTTTTCTGGCTCGTACACTAAAACTGGGACTGTTCAAAGTATCACATTTTCATCTTAGTACTTATCTCCCTGATCTTAGAGATGAAAACATACCCCATAGTGTGTTAGATGTAAAAGCCATATGTAGGTGATGATATAGATGGTTATTAAGGGAGTTGATATAGTTAGCAACAGAGACATTGTATCTGGTCGCTCTTTTTTTTTTTTCCTCCTTTTGCTCTTGTAATTGGCTACAAGTGGCTCTAGATTCCCAAGGAGGGGCTTTCTCCACCACTTCATCATCAGCTGCCTGCCACTGCATTTATATTTTCTTTGTTTCTTGTTTTCACTGTAATTCATATTTTTCTTTTGCCTGAAGGTGGAATGATACATCTTTTGAGAATCCCCTCCACAATTTTTTTTTTACTCCTTGAGGGTTTCTTGGAAGGGTTAGTATCTCCACAGGGCAAAACTGACCCTTCTGGAAGACCTTCCAACTGTGCTTTTGGACAGGACACCTGCATTTTTTTCCCCAGAGCCAAAATCTTTATCCACAAACATTAACTGGAAAGTTTTGTTAGGTGTTTCATTGTACTAATTGCTTGTATCCCTTTTCCTGTAGATCCTGACTGGGCCAGCTTGAATCTGGGAGCCCTCATATGTATCGAATGCTCAGGTATACACCGAAACCTTGGCACGCACCTCTCCCGGGTCCGCTCTCTCGACCTGGATGACTGGCCTATAGAGCTCATCAAGGTGATGTCTTCTATCGGGAATGAGCTGGCAAACAGTGTCTGGGAGGAGAGCAGCCAAGGCCATATGAAACCTTCGTCAGACTCCACAAGGTAGGCTTTCCTACTCCATCTCGCCATGGCATGCAGCGGGCAGGTAGTATGTGATACTGCACGTGGCTGAGGCTGTAAGCTATGAGCCCATAAATCTTCATTTTGGCATTGCAGTCAGAGGTGGTAGGGCGTTACAATGTTTTACAACATGGACTTTTAAAATTCTCCCTTGGAGTAAGCCTTGTAAAAATCATTATGTATATATATCTTCACTGCATGCCCAGGAAGAACGTGTGTCAAAGTGCGGGAGGGGTGTCAAAAGTTGAGTGACCCTGTTATTTTCACTCTTGTGAAGGTTTCCTCAGCAGCTCTACAATTTTTTTGTTCAATTGACTGACCAACAAAACAGTGGGAGATTGAAACCTCCCGCCTGGTTGTTCCTCAGTCTAAATTATACTGTAATGTGTTTCTTTGTTTTGGTCAGCCACAAAGTTCCTGGCTCTTGGTCTATCAGTTTGTGCTTAATAATCTGCCTTGAGTAGTTCAAGCTCACCCAGGAATTTGTACCTGGCCGTCAGGTCTTTGGGTTGTCATCACGGATGTTGAAAATCCTGCTCGCTCTGGATGTGAAGGTGTAAGTTGATGGGGGAGTGTGTGTTTCCGATGAGAACAGTATTTTACGTACCAGTCATAGCTCAGCACAGTGAAAATCTTCTTTCTGTGATGCATTGTCGTACCGAAACCTAAAAGGTTTTTGTGCTTAATTTATCTGATCAGTGTCAAAGGAGGAAGATGTTCTGAAAGTACAAAATGTAAGTGCTAATAGTTATAACTAAGGTATTGGCTTGGGGGAAGCAGAGTGACCACTGGCAGACTGTGTTTCAGCAGGGGGGTTCAGGCAGGAGAAAGACCTTCTGGACTACCTTGCACAGCTGGGCCAATCTTTGAAGTTGTCTTCAGAAGTGCGTTATAATTGTCTTAGGCTGCCCCCCTGGAGCTTGCCCCGCATCCGAGCACCAGTTGGTCCCCTGGTAGCAAACGGCACGATGGAGGTTTAGCTCTCAGTGTTTTCCTCCTGCATATGAGAGAAATCAGAGGGAATTGTATTCTGATTTTGTTATGTAATAACATAATCAGATCCTGCTTTTTCTAGTACTGGATCAAGTGAAATTATAACCTGGGAGCATATACCTGGGCCACCTCCTGCGGTGTAGGAGTAGGTTTGTACTGTTGTCTGTAATAAAGTCAACTGTTTCTTATTGCATTATTTCGTTAGCACTGAAAAATGAATTTGTGGTGCCACCTTTGGTTCATCTTCGAGAATGAAGCCAGTACATTAATCAGGCTACTTAGATGAATGACTATGCATATAAAAATGTTCAGGAAGACCTACACAGTGATTTTGTTTATACATAAACTGTATGTCTGCTGTATACATGTATATTATTAGACAGCTAATATAATGATTTCATCAGGTAGATTAAAATCAACTTATTGCTGCCTTTCAGTCATTAGTATTACTTTAATGCAGAGATCTTATATTGTTGCAACTAACAAATATATGTTGCTCCTTACTACTGAGGTGAGGTGGAGATAGCTCAATTCTAAATACTTGTAAAAGGAAAAGGCATACACTCAATTGGATTTTATTTTTTTTTAAAAATAGCATTTTAGTGTGCATATAATAAAGTTATCATGAAAAATCTAAAATACATGTGACTGTGATGAAAAGGGAACCATCCATTTGAACTAAATTATTCAGGGTTTTATGTTTGGAAGTGAGTTTTATTTATAGAAAATCAACTTTGTTCTCTTTGTATTTCATGCTCAGAGCTTATTTTAAATCTCCTTTGTTTCTGTACATCTTTGTGTTTATAGTCAGCTGTTTATGTTTGTCAGTGACTTATTTGCACTTTTTTTCCTGGACTATAGCATTTTTGAACAAAAGGTATAAAGATTCGTTTTATACACATGCATTTCCATCTCTGTGTCCAAGTGCACACTTACGTGATGGAAGAGCTGTTAGAAAAAATAGAATTAAGATTATGTGAAAATTTTCCCACAAAGCAATTGTAATCTTGCTGTGCTACTCCCGTTTTTTCCGCTGTTTGCAGCGGGGACTGAAGTGATATTTTTCACATAAATGCCTGAAAGGTCTGCTTTTTGAAAGTTATGTGCCTCCTTTTGTACTTTACTTTGGTCTCTACTAGCATCGTAATCCTTCTGTCCAAGATGTGGCAAGAAAATGAGTTCACGTTCTTTAGATATAAGTTATGTATTCCATTTCCTTGCTGCTGTTTGCAGTTTTGCATGAGGAATCCTATCAGAAGCAGCTACAATGGATCTGAAGTGAGGTTAAACACTCCCCCCCCTTTTTTTTTTGTTGTTGAGGGACTGAAGGGGGAAGAGGCAACTGAAGTTGAGGAACTGGTGGAGGAGGCAAGAAAGTAAGCAAGTAGAAAGATGACTGGGGAGCTAAGATTTGGAGTTCTGGTGGAGGAGGGATGGAGGGTGTCCAAGGATACTTGGAGATCAGGGAAGAAAGAATCATTCAGCAAAACTACTTCTGAAGGGGAAGAGAGCCAACAGCTAGTGTTGGGGGGCTGTTCCTGCCCATGCTGGTGGGCTCTGGGGTCAGCTGGAGTCTGAGAGACACTATATGCAGAGATTCACGCACTCAGTATGCTCCTGCTTTAATGAGTTCTCTTCTCACCAAAACCTCATCAGATGGAAGAGGGGAAGTACTCCCATGTTTTCCTCCAAGTTTCCCCTGAACTTGTTCATATCCTCGTTCCCTTCTGCAGCCCCACTTACTACACCTGTCCCACATAGTGCTCCTGTTTTCAGTTCCACTACATATACTCATTAATCCACCCTCCACGGCTTTCCACATGTGTGCTCAGACCTTCAGGCTGTGCCTGCAAGGAAAGTGTTGGAAACCCAAGGACAGAAGATTTCTTAACCATTCCCCCAGCTGATTCAAAGGTTTAGCACAAAGCATCAGTAACAGACCTTAGACAAATGCAGTCTTCTCACGTGTTTCTTTGATAGGCATGTCTATTAACTCTTTGGTCACCACTGTGCCCACCCCCCGCAAAGCACCAAAAGTTGTCAGCACAGTGATGGACCCCCTGTTAATAGACATTTGTCGAGGGGATCAGACATACATGGGTTTCACCATTTCGTATTGTGTCTTTCTACTGGAGATGAAGCCATCAGTGGAAACCCACAGGCTTTCTAGGGGCAAAAAAAAGATTATTGACTGCTTCACAAATACTGAATCTGTTGGGCTGTGAGGCTCGAGGAGTGTTCACATGCTGAACTAAAAGGAACCTGGAAGTCTTGACATGGCTTCAAAAGCAATCCCTTCAGCTGGGGAGAAGTCAGTACTGATGACTGAATCAGTACAGTGGCATCCCATGCGTTTGGATTGAGTAGAGGAAAGGGTGGAGAGACCTAGGGAGACCAATGTTTTGCAGGACGGATTGCCAAATGGCTACTGTAGGCCACAGTATAATTAAAGAGTCTTATTCAGGAAAATGTCACCAATATTTATAAAAATAGAGATATGCCAGGTATTGAGTACTGCTTGCATTTTTAATTTTGGACATGCAAAAATAAGTTAAATATTATCAAACTTAAAGCGCATCAAACGTACCATACCGCTGTCCTTTCCTAGCCCACTCAAATTCACTTAAAACCCTTTCTTCGAGAAAGTCATGGGGAAAGATAAACCTAAAAAGGTATTTTGAAGGTCAGAAAGACTCTCAGATTGGAGGGCGTGAACTCAAAGCCTGAGAGAGTTGTAGCAAAAGGTATTACTCCTGTTGCTTTCATCAAGGATATATTGCCCAGGTATGTCCTCTAATGTTAACACGTGCCAGGTCTCATAAAGTGTGAGAGGCAGCTTATAAAATAAGCAGATCTCTAGGTCATTCAGTGCCTCTGGATCAAAAGCAACACCTTGGATGGCTTCTAGCATTAAACTGGAAGGCATCGCAGGTTATAGGAGCACAGGTGAAATGGGATCCCCGAGGAAGCGGCGTAGAGTAGCATGAGGCAAAGTTCAGACTGAGGGTGTTGGTGTGATTACGGGGAGAAAAGAGGAATAAACGTGAGCTCCTGGTGAGCACGAAAAGTTGGCAAAGCAGCAGAAAACCCAAGCACAGGTGAACACGTGCGTGTGGAAGGGAAAGGGGACCAGCTGGCCTCTGAGCGGTGGTGTCCGTGGGTCCCTGATTAGGTCAGCTTTGGAAGGCTGGTAATTGGTTCCAGCAATTACCAGCAGCCCTGAGAACCGCCGCTCAAACTTCGGGAGCCCTGTGACAAATTGAAGCTGACTGCTGGTGAAGGAGTATCGACTTCCCATTTCTAAACAGGGGGATCATTAGTCAAGAAAAGCATCTTTTAATTACTTGCAGGAAAGGGGGGGGGAAAGGAGGAAAAAAGGAAAAAGATCTTTCAGTATGGATCCTGCAACAGCTGCCATTTTTTTTTCCAAGTGTATTCAATATTAAATTTATTGTCTTGGAGGGGAGGGGGTGAGCAGGGAGAGTTTGCCTGCGGTCCCTCCTTTGGTAATGTGCGTTTAATTTGGAGTGAGAAGTCAAATTAGAGTAAATCAATGTTGCGACAATTAACTGGGTCTAGGGATGAGATCAGGATTTTCCCCTCTAATTGCTATTGATACTATTTAAGCACACTCTTAAAACATTGATTTGGAGTGGTGTGACACAGGAGTAGCCCAGTGGGGCGGGGGCAGAACTGCTCCATGGAGGAATGTCGGAGATGTGGTGAAGCCAGCGTGGGGAGTCTGTGCCATGTTTCGCCTGGGCCTGTTGCACTGGTATGTAGATCTCCTACCAGATATTTAGCTTTCTTCTGGACACACCTCATGTGCTTTGCTTTCTCCCCATACTATTCTTGCCCATGTGGCTTCTGGTTTTTAGATATGCTTGCCACCATCGACTTCTGAAGATGTTGTTAGCCTTTTCCAAATGAGATGAGCTGCCACCATCCCTCTGCCTGCACCAGGAGGTGACAATCT